GGAATTAGATTATTAAATGTAAATTTTACACTCCTGCTTAAATCCAGAACGTGTACGTTATTAATGTCAAGGAAAGTGTTAGGATTCATAACGAATGAGCATTCGACATGCAGCCTCAATTCCTTCAATTCTTTCAGACCATTAAAACAGTAATCTTGTAAAATCAGGTGACCTGCTGGTAAGTCGGTAAGGATCTCCATAAGTTTTATTTTTCTCCAAGAATAGTCAATGAACGTAGACTTGTTCAGATACATGTTACCCACCAGGCTCAAATTCAAATTCACTGTCGTGACTCCAACTGGGAGAGACTCCGGTATAAAGTTACAAGTCAAGGTTTCATTGTTGCCTTTAACACATTTAGTCTTCGTCGAATCATATTGAGAAAATCCGTTAGTGTATGCCATTAAAACCATTAACAAAAGGTAAGAAACACATTTAATAGTCATCATTTTTATGCTTTTTTGTTGCTGTGTTTTTTACTTGTTTATCATATCAAAGCTGTCTTTGTAAATACTGCTTGAATTATCCAAGTAAAGTTTATGGTTTTAAACTCTTTTCAATTTAACTTCACGAAATTCAATCCACGGAAACACACCACAAATTTTGCGCTAATGGTCTCATGTCATCTAAGCAAATCCAATCTTCATTCAGCTATAAATATCATCGTGTACAATCCCTTTTCAAAATAATTTAAACTGATGGTGGTTGGGTGTTTAAAACGAATTATGACCTCGATGAATAAATTGTACACTTATTTGAATATGTATTTTGAATATCTGAATCACAAATATTTGGCGGAATTGCAAAGATTGCATATAGCCATGAGTATGAATGTGATGATTTGATGTGCATTTACTTACATAAAGTAACAATTATATTAAAAACATATTTGGATATATCAATCAGAATTTATACAGAGAGTTTTGATACGACAAACATGAAGAAATAACATGAAAATGGTATCTATTAAATGTATTTCTTATGTTTAGTTGTTAAAGGGACACTGATGTTGCCTGATATAATGGGACTTGATATTGTCTTTCGAGACTTATGTTCCATTTGATAAGGGCGAAACCTCGCCAATTCCGTTTTTCCAAAATAATTATTCTAATTCTGAAAAAATGAGCCTGAATCGAAAATCGTTGCGTTTCAACGCTTTTCATTCAAATGGGGCTAAAAGTAGCGCATAAAACACTATTTTCATTTTTTTACAAGCCTTTATTATTTTTGCATATTATTCTGTTTAAAGTGCCTTTATTGAACAATAGTAGAAACATTTTTTTCTTTATTTTTTTTACCTGAGAGGAGTTTCTTTAATGGTGTTAATGATATACACTAGCGAATTTTCCAAATATGATTCGATTAAAATTATACAGTCGGAGTCACGACAGTACATTTACATGGCGACGCGTATGGTAACAATTTCAGTTTATTGACTATTCTTGGTTCTAAGTACAACTTCTTGAGACTGTATGTTAAATACTTATTTATATAAATCTTAACACTTTCTTGGGCATTAATGACAAAGTCGTTCTGGATTTAAGCAGGGAATAAAGTTGGCATTGGATAACTTAATTTCAGCTATTAATGGATTGGAAAAATTGCCAGAATTGAATAAATTGATGTTTTGGGATCGCGCAATTGAAAAAGGCATCGGATTCGAGCCGCGTCATTTACACTGCCAATTTCCTTGACCGAGAAATTTATCTATATTGCCTTACGTCACACAGACGTAAATGGGTTTCTAGCTTCAGTGACGCCAGGAAGGTCGATAGATGGATTTTAACAATTTATCAATTTATGACCAAGGGTTATGCTGCTAAGTTACCATCAACAGTCACTATCCGTCGCAAGAAACGTTCACCTTCCCTATGAAAGCGTCTGAGAAATTGATTGCAACACTGCACCCTTTCCACTTTTTATTCGTCCGTCAACATTTTAGGAATCCACCTTGCACACAGGCGTTTCATATTGAGTTCATCGTGTATAATGCGATGCACTGTGCCAATGCTACAATCTGATCTTTCGTGTATTTCGCGAATTGTTATCCGACGATCATTGTCAAACAGCTCCTTTATCACAGCGACGTGATTTGACGTTACGTTGGGACGTCCACTGCGTTTGTCGTCATGGATGCTTTGTTGGCCGCCTAGAAATCGGGCATACCACTTGTACATTGCTGTTTTCTTCATCGCCTGATCACCATATGTTTTTTGTAATCTTAACCTTGTTTCTTTCTTCGAAAACCCGTTCAAAACACAAAATTTTATTAAAGATCGTTGTTCCGATGCCATTTTAACGCATACGCACTAAACAATATGGCTGCTTAACGCCTAAATGACGCCACACACTAACATGACGTCATGTGCGTAACGCCAACATATTGCGCGTAAATTATGCAAAGTTTGGTGAAAATCGCACGGTAAACGTTAAAATGCGACGTCATTATTAACCAGTGACTATTTGTAATCAAAGCACAGAAGGCGCTGAATTTGTTTGGGGAAAGGTGAAGGTTGTGAGGTTATAAAACAATTTGTTTTTGTATAGTGCCACCAATGCTTTCCAGCGTTTTAATTGTAGTAGATTGGCTATGATACTAATTGCAACACTGATATTCAAACCAATGTTTATTTGACTTAAACAATTTAAATAAAAAAAGGAGTTGCCTTAACTGGGATTTGAACTCCAAACCTCTCGCTTTCTAAGCGAGCGCGCAAACCCCTCGGCCACGGTGAATTTATATGTAAACGCCCTGAAGAAAACCATATTATTCTAAATTAGGGTTTGTAACGACGCTATATAACTGTTGTTTAACGCTTGTGTTAATAATCATGGCGCTTACTATAAGCGTGTATATCTATAAAGAATAAAACAATATTAGAAATCTTCGACCATTCGGGAATTATTTTGCTTGAAAATTATTGCGCCTGTCATGTGACCATATTTACGTAGTGATATCCCCTGAATTTTCCGGGCTTTGTGTTACATATAAAGGGAAGTAACCGCTTCAAAAAAGCGGACTACTTTCGGCATTTGCAATTAACAGTATTAGAGTCTGAAATTTCGCTACCATTATTTGTTTGGTCTGACGACCCAAACAAATAAAAATGAACAAAAGTGGGCCGGTAATCGCTACATGTGGTTACCATAACGACCGTTTGTTAACATATGATTCATGCCTGAACCGCAATATTTGCTGTATACTTTCAAAATATGTTTGTCTCTATTACTGTATAAGTTTTATTCAGCTAACTTGGAAAATAAGGAAATAGCGACACTTTTCCGCGTATTTATTAAAAGCCCTCGTATTTTTTTATTTTTACGTATGATGTTATCATTATTATTTATTTTTTGCAGACAAATGCTTCATAAATCACGACGAATATAAACGAACAATGTTAAAGATATGCTATGCTCATCCTTGCGTAAACTATCTTTATCACGTAAATTTATTGAAATCTATAAAATTCTTACTGTATATGCCTAATTTGAATAAAAGAATGAATAAACTGTGTATTGGAAGTTGCGTTCAATAATACCTAAAATTCCCTAAGACTCTAACTTCAAATTTGGGAAAAGTATATCTTTAAGAACAAGGTATCTTTAATTCAAATAATATCCCAAATTCTTTTATCATTTGTATTCGTGTTCTCTGTGATATAGTGGAGTTAAGAAAGTATATAAACATAAAGTTCTAAAATATTAAAGCATTGACTTATATAAAGATTGTTTATTCCAAAAGTTTTGCAATTAGTTTTTATGACATGTGTGTTTTGTTTTCTCTTGTTTTTTCCTGATTTTGTCTGAATTTTTCATAGTGTTTTGTCCGTCGCTCCATATATAAAGTTCTCCTGGTAACTAACAACAAATTAACGATTTCTTCCACAAGTTACAGACTACTTATCCATCATTATGTCTGAATCAGTAGTGAGAGACAAATGACCACTACACCTACTGTCTGAGATCAATTACCACTGAGAAACAGGATCATACCAGACACCTCTGGATAACAAATCTGATACTCTTTTTATTTAGCTAAGTAATCATTTCGTATTTCAAATTAATAAAAATTGCCAGTATTTCTATTGACACTTAATGTATTAAATATTAGATTGTGACGACCTTAAGTGTGTAGAGTTTTAAACAAAGCATATCTTCTTTGTGTGAAGTCAAAACATGTTATTTTATATTAACAAAGAGACTTCGTATCAATTATCAAAACTAAAATTTTGAAACATCAAATTTGCCATTAGTATATCTTTAAGAACTAGGTATATTTAATTCAAATAATGTCCCGAGTTCATTTATCATTTGCATTTGTGTTCTTTGTGATAGATTGAAGTAAAGAAAGTGTATCATCGTGATGTTTAATAGTATTATTTTCAAAGAAATACAAGAAATTCATGTAAATGTGTTTTAAACAGTAATAGCAAAATATCTAACGCGTATATAAATATACTTTTATTGCATAAATACTTTCAATCTCGTATTCACAACATGTTAAAAATATTATAGCAAAAACTACCGTGTTGATTTTTTTCACAATTGTTATTGCGATGATGTGCGATATTTTCAACAGGTTTGTATGCCAAAACGGTGGAATTAGCCGTAGAATCGAAGTATATTCGGCAAAATTAAAAGAAAGACATCAATGAAAAGGCAATACGTCTACTGAACATTATTAAATTTAGATTTAGAACATCTGATGAGAATTGAAATAAACCGGGCCGTTTTATCGATAAAAATGTCGAAATTCCGCCGCCGACGATAGGAGGCGCTTGGACATCATACCAACGGTTTCTTTTACAAAATAATGCTGCGAAGTAAATGTTACATATCTACATGTATGCATACCAAAAATCATCAAGAAGAAAAAACATGAAATAGTGTGAAATAAATGTATGTTTTATGTTTTAGAATGTAACGAACGAAAATGGTCATATTAAAACATGTGTGTACCTGGGGAAATAAATCTTCATTAAACAGTAATAAACAGTTGTGATATGGTTCGTGGAGTTGTCCCCCTTAGAAGTAAAAAGTATCGTAATTCTGTTTTTAGGAGGGCTTTTCATATTCTTTCAAACCGGTACCGTTAGCGTTGTTAAGGTATCCGCTTTCGGGTCGGGAGGTCGAAGGTTAAAGCCCTACGGTTAGCGTTAATTGAAGAATAAAAGGACTCGTTCCGAAATGGCCGCTTCGTGAGCCGCGAGGTAGTTAAAATGAATTGTTACCGATTTCTATCCGCCTGGCATAGTGGTAGGAGTTGGGAGGTACATGGTATGCAAGCAAAAGGTTTATAGTTAGTCAGAAATTGTAACGATATCAGATACTAGTTTAACCTGCATGATTATTTACCTTGACCTTTATATTATCAGTACTATTCCATTAATGCTTGAATGGGCAGTTCTTATTTATAGACAGGCGATTCCCGCCACTAGCCAGTTCTGAGATTAAACTTGATAAGCTCACATCTGTGTTCTTACTTTAATCTATTCACATTTGTGAATTACTGAACTCCGTATCCATAATAAATATACGTACATTAAAACCAAGAAACATTACACAAGAAATATTACCTGGTGTCAGAAGAAAAAAAAACGGATTAAAAAAAAAGTGAAAAAAGGATTATAAAGCTCTCATATATTTTAAACAATTGTTAGAACAATGGAGGGAATTCCACCGCCGAATATAAATTGGGATAGTACCAATTTGCCAGACGAATGGCAAAAGTTTGAAGAGCATGCAAAATTAATATTCAACGGCCCGTTACTGGAGAAGAGTGAAGAGCAGGGTAGGAAGTAGGGGCAGAGAAGTCCGCCAAACATGGGGCGATATATCAGCAGAAGACCAGAAAAAATTAGAAACATACTACACACGGTTTCGAAATTATGTACAACCAAAACTAAACCCCATCTTTGCCAGGTTTAAATTTTACAACGAAACGCAGGGTTCAGACAACTTCGACTCTTTCCTGACACGACTACGGATAAGGGTTTAGAGATTGTCAATTTGACAAGCCGGAGAAGAAAATGATCCGTGACAGAATTGTTTTTGGGATAAATAACCCAAAAGCCAGGGAAAAATTGATCAACGAAGGTGATAAGTTAACACTTGACAAAACAATTCACATTATGCAAAATATGGAATACTGCCAAGAGCAATTACGGACAATAGGCAAAGAAAATGTAGACGCAGTCAACACAGAGAAATATACGCCCTAATCATCGCCATCGCTATCATCAGCAGCATCATCATCATCAACAACAACAACAACAACCAATAGCGCAACAAAAAGCAGCAGGAAACTGCAAGGATTTGGAAACTGCTCAAAACTGTGGACGAAAAAAGCACACACATCATCAAATCTGTCCAGCCAAAAACATGACATGTCATAATTGTGGAAAGTTTAAAACCATTTTGCCAGTGTATGCAGATAAAAAAACAGGAATGTTCATAAACGTTTTAGTTCAGCAAATGGATTTAAACAAAGTGATTCGGAATGCAGAGGAAAATACAGAATTTTGCCATAGACACGGTAAATTCTTCTTCTCCTACTGAACGTGCATTTGTCCAAATAAATGTTGGGCCCTTCCCGTTATACCTATACATTTCAAATTAGACACAGGTAGCGCTGTAGATATTCTCTCCTTTAAATCAGCTCAAGAAACTCAACATAAATCACCCTCTTGAGCCCCCCCAGTAGTCACTTGACCTCATACACTGGTAACAGGTTACCTGTATGTGGCACGCTCAACCTGCAAATGAGTTACAGGGATCCAGAGCTGTTCAATCAAATTGCTACATTGTAGATAGCAATACCGTCCCACTACTTAGTTTTACAAACATCTGTTAACCTTAACCTGATACAATTGACATTACTCAGTAGAAACCTCTACACCACTTGATAAACAAAAGATCTTATCAGAGTAATGGAGATGTATTTAAAGGCATCGGGGTCATTCCAGGTTGAAAGTAAAATTGCACATTAGGCCAGATGCAATTCCTATCATTTAATCCTCCCCAGCAGGGTTCCGGAGGGATTAAGAGGCAGGTTAAAAAATGAACTCCAGCACATGGAGAAAGAGGGGATAATTACAAAAGTAACGGAAACCTACAGATTTTTTGTTAATTCCCTTGTGATAGTTGAGAAGAAAACAGGGGAAAATTGAGGTTATGTAATTGACCCTAAAAAAACCTGAATGACGCTATACGAAGGCCACATTATCCTATCGAACTAATTGACGACGTGAACGTCACGACTGACGGACGCAAAAGTAACTTCAGCATACTAGAT